CTTCTTTTTTCAATTAGGTGGAATTATTAATTGACATGGCAGATGCAAGATCATATTAAGCTGAGTTATCACCATATTCTGTCACGTCATCATCTTCAACCTTTCCCCAAATTGAAAATCCTAGTCGTCCATGGCAACCACGGAAAAACATCAAATTCAACACCTAGAAAACACAAAAACAGTAGCAACCTTTAATCGCGATCACCATCATCGTGAATCCCAATCCAGAAAACAAAAACTCAAATACCAGAAAACCCAATTGCGACGCCCTAATCGCAAGTCTATTTATTATTGCACAATATTGAACCACTCGCGACAACCATGGCAAACCCTAGAGTCCAAAACTCAGGCCATCGTGATGCAATTGTGAGCATGAGCAACTTCATCGCGAGTAACTCGCACTTCATCACCATGCACACCAACAAGGAAAGCATACCAAAAAGNTGAAGAGGGTCAAGATGGAACATTATCTCAGTTTTTATAAAAGGAAAAGGAGGAGCTTCTGAAACTGGAAAGGGGTAATAATAAAAGAATCGAGAAATTAGTAGCAAGGAAGAAATGGAAGAAGGATTGCCAAATATTTATTTGGAAATGTTAAGAGAAAAAGCTGAAGGCGATGCCTCTTTGGATGATGAGAAGAATGATTATATAAGGTTAGAAGAGGGGATCAGGATGAGGATTTGTTTTCCAATGAGTCACTGTGTCTTTAGTATTGCCCTATTGTTACAATCATGAGATTGAGACTTAGATGAATGTTATGAATTTTAGTTTTATGTTGCTTTTGACACTTCTACAGTTTTTTTTTTAATTTGTATGTGTGTGCATATGTATAAACACATTGTCAGACAGGGCTTCTGCCATCCAATGAGTCACTGTGTCTTTGGTATTGCCCTATTGTTACAATCATGAGATTGAGACTTAGATGAATGTTATGAATTTTAGTTTTATGTTGCTTTTGACACTTCTACAGTTTTTTTTTTTTTAATTTGTATGTGTGTGCATATGTATAAAAACATTGTCAGACAGGGCTTCTGCCATAAGCCGTTATGCCAACCACTCTATGTGGCGGATTTTTTGGCTTTCTGTCTCCTTTTGCAATACAAATCATAAATTGACTCAAAAGTAACCAGTATTAGTAAATAGCCATAATTTGAGACAACAGAAAGGGAAATTTGCAACAATTGTGAGGACACACCAGCTTAAATGATTCTGATAGAGACTCCACTGATGTGTATGCCAAATAGAGAAGGGCACTTTTGTAGAACTCAGCAAATTCTTGGCGGGTCTTGTGGTATTGAGATGATACCCAGTAATAGTTAGCATATACAGATGGATCAATATCTGTCATGCTGTCAAGTGTAGTCTTCCCATCTTCTAGGAGTCTCTTGCTTTCCTTCTGGTCACCTTGCTCAAGCTTGAATATTGCTATTTGCATCTTAATGTAAAGGATAGGTTCTTCTATGCGCTGCTCTCTAGTGGCCTGCAACTTCTCAATGACCCCTCCAAGATAACCAACAGCAGCTTCCTTTTCAGAATACTGCCGAGAAACTATAACAGCAAAATGTGCAAGCTTCAGAAGGTTGATTTTAGTCTCGAAGTCTGTGATGAAATTGTGATATAATTGAATCAACGCATCACCAGCCTGAAAATTTAAGTAATAACCATTTATGAAACAAAAGAAATATAAATTATAATAAGACTACACACGCATACCTGAAATGAGTATTTGTCTATATGAGAAGCAGAAAGAACTAGCAATACGTACAAACTAACATAACGAATGAATCATCCATAATCGTTAATGGTTGAGTACCATGAATAAACTTGAATAAACTTGGTCTTACCTTCTGGCTGCTTCCAGCCAATGATGTGATATAAAAGTTTGACAGGTTAATGACCTAAATATTTGATGCAAAGATCCCGACTCAAAATAATGCCACCGAGCATGCAAGGGGGGAATTACCATTTCAACCTCTTGATTGGCATCGACAGAATAAAATTGCATTCAGTTTAATTACTTAAGCCATTCCCAAATTTAACAGAGCATGCTTGATCTTGTTTGAAGTGAAACATCCACATTCAGTCCAATGTGGCTAAAGTTCCATTCCATCCTAACGACACTGCCCTCTGATCTTCATGGTCCTTGACTTACCAATCTCATGATCCACACGTTATACCACTATATACCAGGTCGCTAAAAATCATCACTCACCACTCTCCTCAAAATCTAAATAACTAAAACCATAAAACTGGACTCCAAATCAGGTCCCCAAAAATTCACTTTCCAGCAGAACCCTAATTTCACAAATCCCACAGCTCAAAGATTTCAATCCTATAACAACCCCGTCCACGTGCCCCGCCCAACATCTTCCATACCTAACGAAATCCAAACGCAATCCCTGTGAAAAAAGTTCCCATCTTTCCCACCGTTCCAAACACAACAATTCAAGCCCCCCAAAACAAAACCCTAACAGCAGCACAATCACTCTCTCCAGACAACATCACCCCTAACTCCCAAATCAAGCTCAAACCAACAACTACACACACAAAAACAAATTAAACCTAAACCTAACAATTTCTGAAACAAAACAAACCGAGGTACAGTACAGCTTTCCATCAATTACGAGTGCAAAGAGCGAAATAAAAAATGAAGTCAAGAAGAAGAGTGGAACCTGAAAAACAGCGAGTGCGACAAACTGCTCGAGCTTGAGGGTGAGTTGATGCCAGAGCTTCTTCTGGTACAGATCCGCGAGCGAATTGTACCATTCGGCGAGCTCAGGGTGCGCGTTGCGCAGCGATTCCAAGTATTGCAGAGCAGCCATTACGATTGACGCAAGAGAGAAACCCAAAATCCGAAATAAAGAAACTTTATACTGTGCCCTCTTATTTCTTCTCTATTTATACCCTTCTTCTTTATTTTTAAATTTAACAGTTACTTTTCTCTTTCCTCTTTTACTTCTTCTCAAAGAAATGTATCGGGCATGAGTTGGGTTAGATCAACATTGTTGCTTTAGGAAGTCAATTTATTTGTGCATTTTGTAATTTTCTTTATATAAAAATCTTTATTTTACCTTTTTATTCTTAAAAATCAGGGATAGAAAAAAAATCATATATATTAAATTTGAACGTATAAATAAATAAAATTGAATAAAATAAATAATTGATAGTCGATTTCGAATAGTAAATTAAAAATGTATGAATATTCAATCTAAATTTATATTTTAATGTTTATAAATTTATAAATATATTTTAATTTTTAATTTTTTAATATGATAATATTTTGTTAAAATTTAATAAAAAGTTACATAAAATTACAATTCACTATAATAATTATTATTAATATGTCATTTTCTTTTTAAAATTTACTATATTTATATAATTTATTCAAAGTTTAATCATTCTTACAGTCTCTTTCTATATTGGCTTTTTTAAATAGATCCTTTTCTTTCTTCTTCTTTTTTCAATTAGGTGGAATTATTAATTGACATGGCAGATGCAAGATCATATTAAGCTGAGTTATCACCATATTCTGTCACGTCATCATCTTCAACCTTTCCCCAAATTGAAAATCCTAGTCGTCCATGGCAACCACGGAAAAACATCAAATTCAACACCTAGAAAACACAAAAACAGTAGCAACCTTTAATCGCGATCACCATCATCGTGAATCCCAATCCAGAAAACAAAAACTCAAATACCAGAAAACCCAATTGCGACGCCCTAATCGCAAGTCTATTTATTATTGCACAATATTGAACCACTCGCGACAACCATGGCAAACCCTAGAGTCCAAAACTCAGGCCATCGTGATGCAATTGTGAGCATGAGCAACTTCATCGCGAGTAACTCGCACTTCATCACCATGCACACCAACAAGGAAAGCATACCAAAAAG